AATCGCTCTATTGGATGTAAATAATTATAATTTATTATCTATGGGAAAAAAAATAATTCACGGATTGGACGGATAATCCGCGGATGGATGGATGATCCGCGGATTGGACGCATGATCCACGGATTGGACGGATGATCTGCATAATCCGCGGATCAATCCGTCCAATCCGCGGATAATCCACGGATTGATCGGATTGACTATATAACGGATTACGGATTGAAAATTTGATGGTAACACGGATTACGGATCACGCGGATCGATCCGGATCGCACCTCTATCATAATAATGATGTAATGTAATTAATAAAAATTTATAAACATATGTCTTATTTTATTGGCTAAAATAAACCATTTTATTATAAATCATATGTCTTATTTATTGGTTGAAAAATAAAACATGTAACTGATTTACCACTGGTGTTGAGATTTTAACAATGTCAAATAATTTTACCTTTCATAAATTACAAATAAGAAGACAAAACTATAGTTGTAAATTACTTATTAGTAAAAATGTTATAAATACCAGAAGAATTTTATTTACTTAAATTTTTAACTTTGTTCTTTAACTTTTAATAAAGTAAATAATAATTATATAGAATAAAAACTTAACTGTTATATTGTATATAATTTTATTTAATGAAAAAAAATATTGAAGTATAATAAAAAAAATAATAATATTGAAACATAAATAAAAAGAATAATAAAGTGTAATAAAAAAAAATTGAAGTGTAAACTGAACAAAAGAAAACTGACTTGTAATTACAAATATAAAAAATTATTAATATAGGCAAAAGATGTAAGCCCTATACAATTTAAACCATTTGTTATAAGACAAATCAAAGATGTAAGTCTCATAAACCAAAAAAATTAATGAATAATAAAAGAAATATGAATTATAAGTCAGGCAAAAGATGTAAGCCCTACATACTAAATAATAATATAATATATTGAGAAATAAACTTCAGAACAAATTAAAGATAAAAATAAATCTGCATAGTGAGTCAACATCTCTCACTGAAAGAATAGTGAAGTTCAAATGGCCACATCACAACAACAAATAGTTTGTTCATTTTAATTAAAAATGAACTGGTGCCTTCTATCATTAAAGAAGTATACCAACCTATTGTGTGTCTTAGGACATAACACATTAAACTTCCAAAAAGAACAAATGTAAGGAGTGAAGGGAACCAAGTAGATTTCCATCCTTAACAATGCCTCTATGTAATTCCTAATGTATAAAGGAGTCAAATTGTATATATATTTAAATTTATTTAAAATACAATAACTTGATAAATATTAATGCTACAAGAATAAAATATATATTATCTTGTGATCAAGAAGAAATACTTTAGTAAAAAATTATTCCATATAAAATAAAATATAAATAATTTTATATATAAAAACTTTTAGATAAAACTTTTAGATAATTTATAAAATTTCTAATAAATAAATATTTAATATATATATTAACATTTAAATGTATTATTAACTTATATAAAATAGTTCCTTTTTATCTTCAAAATAGGTTTTGCAGAATGAAATTTATCAAACAATTAAGTTCTTAACTGTTAAATTTGACATGATTATTTATTTTCCTTTATATGATAAACAGAAAACATAAAAGATAACAAAGGAAACAGTTAGAAAGATGCTTTGTTGGTCTCATTACAAGTTTTGACAATGATTGATTTCAAAAGCAGAAGAGAAAGGAAACCATGTGATAATTCAAAACGAAGCTTACACATCAAATATAGTTAGTGTGGAAACATTCAGAACATTGGAGGGTCAGAAACATACAAATGCAAGAATTGTAATATAAAAATAGATATGGCACTCGAAGAATATTTCTTTCAGGCTTTGCTTGATGGAACCGTGATCGTCATAAGACCTCTACTTAGTAATACTTGGTATTGATTAATGATCCATCCACTACATGAAATCTATTTTCTTTACTAATCATCTAATTCCGTGAAATATTTTAATTTTTTAGGTAAAAGTAAAATCATCCATAAAATTAGTTAACGTCATTTTCAAAAAGAATTTTAGGAACACATGATCACTTATTTTATATTCCTTAAAAATTCATTATTTAAATAAAAAACAAGTTTAATTTACATGTAAAAATATTAAATATTTTCAAATTCAAAACAGCATCTTTTATTCCAAGATGAGATATAACTTGTACATCCGGAATTTAATTTAATATGAAAACTCTCCTTGATAAAAGAAGTCAAAAAATTTTCGTATTAATATGATATAATTTTCTAAATATTGTTAGCCATACCATGTTAAGGGCAATTAGTGAAACTGTATTTCTTACTGTTTACTTTGTTCATGTTTTATATTGCTTTCAAATTTGATTCTTATAAATTGCCAAAGGTTTTAAAATGGAAGTCAAACTAGTATCCTGAAAAGTTACTTATAAAATTTGTTTATATAATTTATTTATATATTATTACAAAGATATTTAACTTTATCTTTCCAATAAAAAAAAAAGAAAATAGAATAAAATAATTGCAAAAAAAAAATCCGACCTTTATAATAAAAACCTACCCATCCCAAATACTTAAAACTATTTTATATAAGAATTATTTTATTCTTCATAACCATTGAATGCCAAAAGATTAGGTGTATTCTTTGGAATGCCTGTAAGAATGTCCGTTGTAGCCAGTTTAATCATCTTGTTCTTTAATTCTTTAGGAGTCAGAGAACCGGTATAGTATTCTGAATCGGTATCTGGTTCAAGAGAAATGAGGTATGCTATTAAACCCGCGACATGAGGTGATGCCATTGAAGTTCCGGAGATAGTGTTAGTAGCGTATCGTGATCCGATCCAAGCAGAAGTGATATCTTTTCCCTAAATTCATTTAAAAGATATATTAATTTAAAATAGATTATTATAATTTATTATATATAATCGATAATTATAAATAAAATACGTACAGGAGCAAAGATGTCAACACAGACTCCATGGTTTGAGAACCAAGCACGTTCATCCTCGACAGTAGAAGCACCAACAGTAATGGCTAGTTCGGCAGCAGCAGGAGAGAAATCACAGGCATCACGATTATCGTTTCCGGCAGCAACAGCAAAGTTGAGACCAACTCTAACAGCCTAATAATATTTAACCAAATTATATAAAAATGATAAAAATTGAATAAAATATATACATTGATATAATAAAAATAATAAAATAATAAAAATAATAAAAATAATAAAATAATAAAAATAATAAAATAATAAAAATAATAAAACTAAAAATAAAAAATTTCATTAATTACCCCATTAACGGCATTGTCCAAAGTTCTGCTTTTACCACCACCCAAACTCATATTGGCGCCTGATCCTTTGAATGGTTTCCCGGCACGTTTAGCCTTTTGTTCAGCTTCTTGATGAGATTCGGCGGCAAATTCAACACCTTTGATAACATCAGCCATTGTACCGGAACCATTTGATCTTAATACTTTAATGGCAACAACATCAGCTTTTTTGGCAACACCATATTTTTTTCCGGCAACAGTACCAGCGACGTGAGTACCTTTTATAAATGATACAAATAATACAAAATAATGAAATGAATATCATAAATGAAAGTATATCACATATCATAAAATAAAATAGAATGTAAATTATTAGAAATACATACCGTGACCGTTACCATCAATATCTTGATCATTTTCAGGAATTGTTCTACCCCATGTAGCACGTCCCTCAAAATCGGTATGATTGATATTGATACCAGTATCGATAATATAAATAGTAACACCTTCTCCTCCATCCGAATCATAAAGATATTTATTGAAATTTCTGAGTACCAATCCTGAACGATGGGAAATTCGAGCCAATCCCCATGGAGCATTTCTTTGAAGTTCAGTAGTGTAAACAACTTGGTCTTTCTCCACCCAAGCTACCTGAAAAAAATATGAAAATCAGTTTAGATGATCATTTATGATATTTATGAACTTTCAATATACAAATATACATAAATCTGTTAATCTTTGATATCAAATAATTTTACATATATATATATATATTTAAATAAGTAATCAATACTATTTAACATGAAATGAATATTTAAGAATTACAATAAATACTATATATACTATATATAAATATTATATAAATCAATACTATGCAATTAATCATTAATACACTTAATCATTATTAATAAAAAAATTGTATATAATAAACAACCAAATTTGAATTCATACCTCCTCGCTACGCCTAATTTTTTCCAATACATCAGGAGAAAATCGACCGGAATATCCTTTCAAATTTTTAAAATTATATGTATGTTTAAGACCAGATATTAATTTATCGAGGAAACCTCTCTTGGCAAGTTTTTTATTTTCTTCCTTGACTAAAGAACGGACACAATTATGGTGGTATTTTATTTTTTCGTCGTCAAGTTGGTTTTTGAAAACCACAATGTACGAGTCTTCAACGATTTCAGAAGCATCAGAAGATAATAAAGGAGCAACTTGTTGTTCTTCTTCAAAAAAAAAAGAATGGTATGGGGCAGCTACTACGGAATATATAAAGAGAACAGAAATGAGCAGTTTCTTTGACAATAATAACATTATTATTTAATAAAAGATTTTTTTTTCTTTTTTTGATATAAAATTTATAAATATAAAAAATAAGAACGATTAAAAAAATTATATATATATAGGTCAAAAATATAGGATAAAAACGAAACGTTAAAGAGGAATGTTAATCAACTTTGAATAAAATTCATGTAGATAGGCGTAAAACATTAAATAAATAAATAAAAAACCTATCTTCAGCCTGAATAAATAATAATAATAGTAATAACGACGACGCAGTATATTAAAGTTAATATTAACCAATAAGGATAAAATTTGAATTAATTAAAAATTACAAATAAAATATATTAATACCAGATATAGTAGGATTAATAAGATGATTTTAAGATGTTGTACATTTAAACAACTTGATTAAACTTGATGGGAAGGGTTACAAATATTTACAAAGAATGTTACTATTATAATCAAATCAAGGAGGCGGTCTCACCTTATCAAATTAAGGAAATTCATACTCCTGTTAATAACTGTCAATATAATTATAATAATAACTATGACATCACAGTTAACAATTTAAAAATCGGATCTTCTATATTTACCTATATGGAATACAGAATAAAACAACAGATTAAAGATTAAAAGAAATGGGAATGTATTTATTCTAAATGTAGATCAGTTAATTAGATTAGATTGTTTTTATCCAAAATAGGTAACTGATTGTTACTAATAATACAGATTGATAAATAAAAATGGATAAATGAATATTAACATTCAATATATATTTTTTAAAACAATTATAATTTGTTTTTATGATTGTAATTATAATCAAATAAATAAAATAAAATAAAATAAATTAAATTAAAACAAAATAAAATGAAATAAAACAAATAACAAAATTGAAACAAAATAAATAAATAAATAATACAATATAATATAATAACATAAAGCCAGGGATAAAAAAAAATAGAGATGACAAAGTTGATACGGAGGAATCCTTAATTAATTCCGAAGAAGTAAATTCATCATTATTCAATTTTTAAATATCAAAAAGATTTAATATATCTAATGCATTATCATGCAAATGTTCCCAATTGCAAAAATACAATAAATATGCTGTAAATGCTAAAAGAATAAATCCAACAAATAACAACATATCATTCTCTTGACTTGTTAAATCTGTAAATGATGCTTTTGTATTGTTAGGATGTTTGGATGTTGATGATTGATAATTATTGATATCTGGAAGATTAGCTGTACACCATTGTTCAATCTGTAATTTTTTATTTATTAATTTAAAAAAAATGGATAAAAAGATTGTCAATATAATAATAATTTTATAATAATTATAATAACTTTAGTTATCTGTTATTATAATTCAAATGATTTTACCTGACCACATGCCATACTGATTTTCAAATAATTTGGGTCTCGTGGATCATTTTTATTAATAATAACACGATTATAATAACGAAAGATATCCGCAACTTCATAAATATTTTTACTTCTCAATATTAACTGAATTTGAAAAAAATAAAAAATAAAAAATAAAAAAATAAAAAATAAAAATAAATAAATAAATAAAAATAAATAAATAAAAAATAAAAATAAATAAATAAATAAATAAAAATAATAAGATTCTAAAACATAATATATTATGAAATTGATATAAATAAATAAATATAATTAAAAATATTAATCACCTTGACAGATTCGCCTCTTCGAAGTTTAACAACTTTTTTAAAGACATCGTGATTCCTAAAACAAATTGATAATGTAGCTATTGCCATAACTTGCGGAATAGCACAAAAATTAAATACAGTTTGTTCTTTTAGTCGACTCATGTATGTCAAACAATCAGGCACATGTTGAAGTGCATTGAGAATAATATCTGATAGGCAATTAAGAGCATTCGTTGCATTTTCTGGTTTCTTTAGTTCTGATAAGTCATTAGTATATTTGGACCAAATTTCCTTTGGCCAAAATTTACGTCCATCTTGATCATCAACTAAATAATCTCGAGTTATATTGACTTTTTGTAAAAATAATCCCATCGAATTTGCTCTATCATATTTAATTATAATAATTATTATTATTTTAATTAATTATTATTTAATCAGTATTATAATATTTATTAATTTTAATAATTTAAGTAATTAATTTATATATATATAAAAAAAAAATAAAAATATATATTAGAATCACATGACTTACAATTCTATGTTATTGTCAAATTCTGGATCTTCCAATCCGCTGGTGGCAAATAATCCGGTAAGACCAATACCAACCAATCCTGCGACATAATAACAATATGTATCAAAATCTTTAATGGTCATGATACCATATTTATTACGTACAGTATCTTTAGCATAATCTGCCATCCCATTTCCCATTTTCTTGGTGGTATCTGCTATAATATCTCTGAATCTAAAAATTATTTAAATTATTTGAATTAAATTATTTCAATTATTTACAAGAAAAAAAAAAAATTATAAGAAAGAAGAAATAAGAAATAAGAAATTCAATTGCTATAATCAAAAATTTAAAATTATATTATAAAATTCGTACTCTTTTTTCAAGCACAAAAATTCATCAATTACAACATCAAATTCAAGAAGCAACTGTCGATCTTTTTCATTGGGACCACCTGTAAATTTAAAATTAAAGATAAAATTTTTATAATTTTATTAAATTTATTTATTATTATTATTATTATTATTAATTTACTTTTACAATTATAACTCACTTTCTGTATAAGTCCATCCTTTTTTAAAAATTAAATTATGAAAATTTCTTAACAATGGCTCTTTCTTTTCAATAGGAATTGTCATGTCATCTTCGATTGTATCCATACCACGCAAAATTAAGTAAAATATACAAATCTATTATTTTAAAAATAGTTAAAATATTTGATAAATATTATTAATTATATGAATATATAAATTATATAAATTATACAAAATATAACTGGTGGTGCTTTACCCCATCCCTCAAATCTTCGTGAACTTCTTGAATAACAGCTGCAAAAGAACGAGAAGTCTGTCTCAAAAATTCATAACATCTTTTCTTGGGTTTATTTTCTGGATCAATTTGTAATAGATGCGTTGATCGAAAATATTTGTAATGTATTAGAGCAATAATTTCAGACGGTCGAAATATTGAACTAATTAAATATGACATTTTTTTCTTTTTTAAATAATATCTATCAAAAAAAATCCTTTTCGAATCTTTTTATTCTCTTATTCGTGTAACATCGAAATTTTTTCGCGCCTGTCCTACAAAAAAAAATAAATAGGTAATTACTGTTGCAAAAACATATAAAATAAATTATATAGAAATAAAGACATGTGAGACATGTGTTTACAGTGTTATTATATGGACACAATCTGTTTATCTGTCTGTCTGAACATTTAAACTTTTAAATAATTTTATACAAATTTATACTTTTTATATTGTACTTTTATTAACTTCAATATTCTTAGTAACTAATTCTTCTAATTTGGATTCGACTTCCCCAGCCGACAAATCATTTAATACCACCTTTTTTTCCTTTCCATAATCTACAGATAATTATAATTAATTAATTAAGAAAATTTAAGAAATTATGAATTGAGAATAAAATAATTAAATTTGAAAAGTCGATTACCATATCGTGCAAAAAATCGAGCCTCAACTCCACTCGCCTCACGAATTAAAATTGGAAAATTTGGGTTAACAGCTTTAATTAAAGAATAATTATTGGCAATGAATTCTCTAAGAATAAAAAATAAAAAATTTAAATTTATTTTTATTATATTTATATTATATTATTTTAAAATTGGTTCAATATTTGTCCTCGATCAAAAATAAAATAATTTAAAGATTTTTTTTTTTCTCAACAACTAAGCATTTTATGACTTTTGTGAATAAAATATTCAATATCTATCATATCTATCGTAATTACCTAACACCTTTACTTGCCGGCGAAGTTTGACAATAGTGAACTCGGAGTTCTTTAAGATTCTTGGATAACATATTTTTCCACATCATTATATTAATTATATTAATTATATCAATTATATCAATTATATCAATTATATTGATATATTTAATTTTTTATTTTAAATGAATAAAATGAATTAAAAGAGGTTAAATCTTCGTTTATATACATTTTTAATTTCATCTTGTACGACACTGAAATTTACTTCCAACGTGAAAAAAATGTATGTTACGTATAAACTTCCTTTTTTGTTAAAGAATTCATCATATCACGTCTTAAAGACCAAAAGATACTCTACAATTAACATGGCGAAAATCATTGATGGAAAGAATATTGCAAAGTAATATCATTAATATCAGTTCAAATTGAAAATGGTACACGAGAAAGAAATTTTAATAGTAAACTAATGCAATTAATGCAAATTTAGATCTATTCGAGATCAAATTCGGGAAGATATTGTTCAATTTAAAAAAAAATATTCTGAATTTAAACCTCACCTTTCAATTATTCAAGTGGGTAGTAGAGAGGATTCGACCGTTTATGTGAGGCAAAAAGAAAGGGCTTGTAAAGAAGTATGTGATAAATTTTTCACGTGATAAATTGACGCAACGCAATAAATTTAACAACGCAATATTAGAATTAATAAATTCAACTCTTTTCAGGCAGGAATTGAATTCAGTTTACAAAAAAAGGATGAATTTATTACTGAACAGGAGGTATTTACTATTTATTCTTTTATTATTATTATTATTATTATTATTATTATTATTGATGCATTTTTTTTTAATCATAAACTTTTTATATTCTCTTTTAGTTAATAAAATCAATTCATGATTTAAATAATGACCTATTGACTCATGGTTTATTAGTTCAACTTCCACTTCCAAACCATATTAACGAAATTCGTGTTACAGAAAATATTGACCCTAAAAAGGATGTAGATGGGTAATTAACACAAGAAAATTTTTTAATCATTGGATTGAGATTACATTTCAATTATTTTAATTATTTTTTAATATAAATACAGATTTCATGCAAATAATATCGGGAATTTATCTAAAAGAAATAGTGATCCTTTATTTTTGCCTTGTACTCCTAAAGGAATTCTCGAATTATTGAAACAAATAGGTATTTTCTAATTTTTACAATATGATACATAGACTATATAATATAACATATGTAAAAAAAAAAAAAAAAAAAAAAAATTCAGGCATTGAAATTTCTGGTAAACAAGCTGTTGTGGTTGGACGTAGCGATATCGTGGTAAATATAAAACTTAATTCAAAATAATGAATTTATTATGTTTACTTTAAGTAGAATGACTGTTTTGAAAATATCGTATCAAATAGGGTTTTCCAGTATTTACACTTCTGTCCCGTAATGATGCTACCGTAACTCTATGCCATTCCAAGACCAAAAATCTTCCCGAGATTGTTTGTATTTTATTTGCTTATCAATTCATATAAAATAAAAAAAATTCTTTAATTTAAATGTGTTTAATCATATACATACATATATATATATACATTATTATTTATTTATTTATAGATCAAGACAGCTGATATTCTGGTAATAGCTATTGGAAAAGCAGAATATGTAAAAGGAGATTGGATAAAGCCCGGTGCAGTAGTTATTGATGTTGGAACTAATTCAATTGAAGGTTTAATATTTATCTTCTTTAAAATTACTCCGATATTTTTAATATTTATAAAGAAATTAAACAAATTTATTTTTATCTCATGTAATTCATGAATATAGATTCCACAAAAAAATCTGGCATTCGATGGGTAGGAGATGTGGAATTTTCAACCGCATCCAAAGTAGCATCACAAATAACCCCGGTTCCTGGTGGGGTAGGGCCAATGACAGTTGCAATGTTACTACAAAACACTGTCGAAAGTGCAAAAAGGTTTTTAAAAGAAAATATTGAACGAAAGGTTTCACCTTTGCATTTGAAATGTCTAGATCCTGTACCAAGTGACATCGACATAGCAATGTTTCAAACACCTAAATCCATTAAATTGCTGGCCCAAGAATTAGGATTGGCATTAAATGAAGTAAGATCTTAAAATTGAAAAAAAATACATGTTAAAGTATTATCAATATTATTATTAATAATAAAATATGAAATACTAATGAAATACCAGAATGATTAAATTTCATTTTTTTTGTAAATATTTTTCTTAGTACGAATTATATGGGAATACTAAAGCAAAAGTTAATTTTCCAGTACTTGAAAGATTAAAATCGCGAAAGAATGGCAAATATATTGTTGTCACTGGGTAATGGTCTTTGGGATTAATTTATTTTTATATATTATAATAATGAATAATGAATAATGAATAATAATAATAATAATAATAATAATAATGAATTATTGGATTAAAATTTTATATCAAATATATTTAGTATTACTCCTACTCCATTGGGAGAAGGAAAATCAACAACCGTTATTGGTATTACGCAAGCATTAGGATCACATTTAAATAAACGTGTATTTGCATGTGTCAGGCAACCATCTCAAGGACCCACTTTTGGTATAAAAGGTGGAGCAGCAGGAGGTGGTTATTCTCAAGTAATACCAATGGACGAATTTAACCTACATTTAACTGGTGATATTCATGCAGTAACTGCTGCTAACAATTTATTGGGTAAATTAAAAAAATTTAGATTTGAATAATCTTATCTCATTATTAAGATATCATTTATATTTTATTTCTTTCTATATTTATTAGCTGCTGCAATTGATGCTCGAATTTTTCATGAAAATACTCAATCCGACACGGTAATTTTTATTTTTTATCTTATATTCATTTGATATTAAATTGATGAATTTTTTAATCATTTTAGGCCCTTTTTAATCGTCTATGTCCCTCTATAAAAGGGGTTCGTAACTTCTCACCTGTAATGTTAAAACGTTTAAAAAAATTTGGAATTGATAAAAATAATCCTGAAGATTTAACACCTGAAGAGATTAGTAAATTTGTTAGATTAGACATTAATCCTAATTCCATTACATGGTTGGTATATAAAAATTTTCAAGAAAAATGGTAGTAACTGGAAAGTTTAAAAAAAAAAATTCATTTTAAAAATTCATTTTATTATTATTATATAGGAATAGAGTAATAGATACAAATGATCGATTTTTGCGTCGTATAACAATTGGTCAAAATGAAACAGAAAAAGGTCAAACACGTCAAACTGGATTTGATATTTCTGTGGCATCAGAATGTATGGCCGTACTCGCTTTAAGCACATCCCTAGCTGACATGCGAGAAAGGTTAGGTAGAATTGTTGTGGCCACTAACAAAGGTGGAAATGAATTAATAACAGCTGATGATCTTGGTATAGGAGGAGCATTAACAGTATTGATGAAAGATTCCATAAGACCTAATCTTATGCAAACACTAGAAGGAAACCCAGTATTTGTACACGCAGGACCATTTGCTAATATAGCACATGGAAATAGTTCGATATTGGCTGATAAAATAGCACTTAAATTAGTGGGTTCAGAATGCGATGAAAAAGGAAATTTAATTGAAGGAGAAGAAGAAGGATACGTAGTGACCGAAGCTGGATTTGGAGCTGATATCGGAATGGAAAAGTTTTTCAATATTAAATGCCGAACTTCAGAATTGATACCTGACGCTGTTGTATTAGTTGCTACCGTGAGAGCTTTGAAAATGCATGGTGGTGGACCTTCAGTGAGTCATTTATCAAAATAATTACCACGGTTAAATTATTAAATTTTATATCTCAAAGTTTATAAAAAATATATTTTTAGGTCATGCCCGGGAAGCCTTTACATGAGACATATTTGAAAGAAAATCTTGAATTATTAGAAAAAGGATGTGATAATTTAGTTAAACATATTGAAAATGCAAGGAAATATGGGCTTCCAGTTGTAGTTGCCATTAATCAATTTACGTAAGCATTTAAACTTTATTTATTCTCTATTCGATAATTTTTAGAAATTCTTTCTAATGAAGACAATTATGATATAAATGAATAGAACTGATACTGAAGCAGAGTTATCATTAATTCGTAAGATTTCCACGGAAGCAGGAGCCATTGATGCTGTACCTGCCACTCATTGGGCGTTAGGTGGGGCAGGAGCTGTAGAATTAGGAAAATCTATAATTAAAGCTGCAAATGAAAAACAAGAATTCAGATTTTTATATGATATCGAGAAGCCCATTGTAGAGAAAATCGAAATTATTGCGAAAGAGATGTATGGTGCTGATGGTATAGAGTTAAGTGAATTGGCAAAAGATAAAGTAAAACTTTACACTCAACAGGTATGAGTTTATAGTATCAGTCAGAATTATTTTATGCATAAATTTTTTTAAATATGATTTTATCTTAACAATTCAGGGATTCACAAATCTGCCTATATGTATGGCCAAAACTCATTTATCACTTTCGCATAATCCAAATCTTAAAGGAGTACCTAAAGGGTTCATTGTGCCAGTACGTGATATAAAAGCATCAATTGGTGCGGGATTTTTATATCCACTATTGGGTGAAATGCAAACTATGCCCGGATTGCCTACCGTGAGTATTTTATATATTATGGTAATTAATATTTTGGATACAATATTAAAAATATTTTTTGAATTTACAGCGTCCGTGCTTCTTTGATGTAGATTTAGATCCAGAAACTGGCAGAGTCTATGGATTATTTTAATCTACTACTATTTTTCATCTAATTTTTTTTTTTCAGTTTAAAGAAGAAATATTTATATATTTATCAAATATAAAATACAGTTGTATTTAAATTTGCTTCATTTCATCATTTCATTTTAACAAAAATAACCATATTATTGAAATTTCATTTGATAACATTTACTAAAAACAAAACCAAATCACCATTATTTTTAATTTTACCTATTTTCTAAAAAAGGGTAATTCGAGATTTTTTCGTGTGATCAGATTTAACCATAAAAGAATTAACATATTTATTTATTCGAAATTATTTTATTACATGTCATAGGTAATATTTTCTGGCTAAGTTCAAATAGAAACATACAAGTATTATTGCCATTATTCCTTTGATAGAAAAGTGCGTTACACATTTAATATCAAAATGTATCCTCATGCATTAATATATTGTGTATGTCAATCTGGCAAGCGAGCGTTACGTGCCAAGTTCGGGCATGCCCTCGAATGACAAAACAAACATTACTCTCAGATCGTCAAGCCACATTGCTATGTGCAAATGTGATCTGCTCATCATTGAGGGACCATCTGGTCAAATAGATATCCTAGAAAATTGTTTTCTGTTATGTGAAACTAATGTAAAGTATAAAATTAATACATTATCTTCTAGTAGTAGTAATAACTTATCGAATATTGATGTTAGAAAGATAATTTAATTACTATTTCAAAGCTTAAGAGATCTTAAAAATAAGTTAGAAAAAATCATTCTAAATTAAAAGTATAGGTTTGTAAGTCAAAAAGTTTAAACTAATTGCAAGCATTAATACCTGCCATAATTCAAAAAAGAAACAGGAAAAAAAAAGGTTGTAACTTTCATGAATATTTGTGACAGGTATCTTTAAGCTGGATTCAGATCTTAATTAAACTCACAGGCCTGAATTGATCTTGTAAACCTAAGTTAAGCTCATGTATGTACCTGAGTTGAACTTACAAGTCTGAATTAGGTATTAAAATAAAAAAAGACTTCTAATAATAATTTTAAAATATCAAAAATAATAATTTTTATATTCACACTTTTTTATAACTTTACTTTGAAGCAAGCTTCCAAGAATACAATAGTTACTATTAAAAATAAAAAAAATAAAAAGCCAGAATTATATTTTTCTACTATTTTTGTGTTTTTAACTTTCAATTTATTTATCACTGGTTTTTTGACACTAGAAACTTTTAGGTATATCAATTCTCTGAATTGAATAAGTTCTTTATACATTTGTTTTTTCATACTTAACAAGGTAAGATTACACGACTGATTGCAAATCACCGAACATATATAGATCTGAATGCATCCAAAGATGGCATCTGTAATTATTTTTTCGCATCACAAAAAATATCACTTTTTCCGACAAATATGGAATAAACGTACAACGTAAACTATTATATCACATGGAGGTGGAAAATTTGATGCATTTAATTATTGAAAGTTAAAACACTTCGATTATTATATTCAATATGTCTGAAGCCCTAGATGTAAATGCGCCAAGTCCAAAATCTAAGCTTATGTTAAGTGATTTTAACACCTGTCGTACTTTGGGAACCGGCTCATTTGGCAGAGTTCATCTTGTACAGTCTAAATATAATAATAAATTTTACGCAATGAAAGTATTAAAGAAATCAGAAGTGGTTAGGTTGAAACAAGTGGAACACACAAACAATGAAAAGAATATATTAGAACAAGTTAATCATACATTTTTAATCAATCTTTGGGGCACTTTTCAAGATTGTTCTAATTTATATATGATCATGGATTATGTGGTTGGTGGTGAACTATTTACTGTACTGAGAAAAACTCAGGTATTTATCATTTATTTAGTGATTAGAATTATTATCGAGACACATTATTAAGGTTAGAAAATGTAAAAATGAATTTCAATTAATTCAATTCCATTCGTAAACATTTTTTTAATAAAGATCATTTTATAAAGATGTGTATGTATCAATATAATTGACATGCCACAGAAGAAGATATAATTATTTGACAAACAAACAAATCAAAAAAATATCTGATCAATAATTACACCTCTAATCACAATCTAATCTTAATTATATAGCGTTTCCCAGATCACGTTGCAAAATTCTATGCTGCCGAAGTAATTTTAGCATTCGAGTATTTACACTCGAAAGATATGATTTATCGTGATTTAAAACCCGAAAATTTACTACTAGACAATACTGGGCATATAAAATTAACGGATTTTGGGTTCGCCAAACATGTACCCGACATAACGTGGACATTGTGCGGCACACCTGACTATTTGGCCCCCGAAATTATACAATCAAAAGGTTATGGAAAAGCGGTAGATTGGTATTCATTAGGTGTATTAATATTCGAAATGTTGGCTGGTTATCCACCATTCTACGATGAAGATCATATGAAATTATATGAGAAAATATTGGCCGGTAAAATAAAGTATCCATCATTTTTTGATGTGATGGCAAAAGATTTGTTGAAAAGGTTATTGACCAGTGATTTGAGTAAACGGTATGGAAATTTGAAGGGTGGTAGTGCAGATATTAAAAATCATGGATGGTTCAAAGGAGTTGATTGGGAACGACTTGCACGACGAGAGGTGACTGCACCATATATTCCACATTTCAGTGGAGAAGGTGATACTAGTAATTTTGATATTTATCCGGAAGAACGGGAACCCTACGGAACTTCATGCAATGATTTGCATAGAGATAAATTTCCGAATTTTTAGTTTATTTATTTTTTATTTTATTTTTCATAGGAGAATTATATTCATAAGTAATTATTTAAGTAGTTGTTGGGTAATTATTTATTTAATTATTTATGTAATCTATTTAATTCTTTATATGTAATTAGAAATATTTAAACATTTTAAACATTTAAACATTTTAAACATTTTAAACATTTTAAACATTTTAAACATTTTAATTTATGTGATTATTAAATATATGGTTTTAGTTTAGTAATTTTATTTTAATGCACGATGGATTTGTGCTTAAATTGAAATATTTCTTTATTTAATATAGTGTTAATACTTTATTTATAGAGTAATATTAACTAATATTGTAACAAGGGTAATAAAATATATACAGCGTTTGGGTTAATAGAGATAAAAAACATTTATTTAATCAAAAATTAGTATGAAATAAAATTTAATATCTATCCTAATATATAGATTAGCTTTGTCATATTGTATGATGTGATTATTGAAAAGTGCTGATCAATCAGTTTATGTAACACGTGAAAACGAACCAATAAACACGTGAAAATAAACCAATAAATTTACTGAAATAAAATATTAATGTTTAGATATAAATTATTTATTTTTTAAAGTGAAATATTCTATTATTATAATAATTATACACATAAGCTCATATGATTTTTTTTTTTGTTCCAGCAAGACCTTGTCTCAAATTTATTGATTAAAAAAGAAAAAGCATTTTACATTATTATTCATAATACAAAATATACAACTTATTTTAATACTTTTGATTTTTGGAATATTTTGTCTTTTTGAGATTTACACAGAATCTATTCTATATATGGAAATAAAAAAAAATATTTAATTAAGTGTATTTTTAATTAAAGAATTTATTTGAGTAGTAAAAAAAAAATTCAGATTTTAAGTAAAATAATTTTGTCTTCTATAAAAAACTATTTTGACTTTTTTCTTCAAAATTCTAATTTCGGAACCTCAAAATAATTTTGTGAAAGTATAATTTAGACTAACTTATATGAGACACACTTGCAACCTACTACCTGACAAATAAACTTGTTATCAGTATGTTAAGGTCTTACTATTTTATACAACTTGATTTAACTAATAAATTTATTAAAAAGACTATCTATATATTTATGTTTAACTATATAGTGGAAATAATATAATTATATCATTTCCACTTAGTTTAGATTATTCTCACTTAGCTATGATATGTGGATTGCAAAACTCAAGTTATTCGAATAATAAGTTAATTGTAAAATTTACATCAAGAAATTTTTAAAAGTAAATATATTTGAATATATTTGTCTACTCATGCATTTATCTATATAAATCATATTAATCTACATTAATCTATATTTATTCACATTAATTCATATATTACATTAAATATATTTACATATATTTACAAATATATTTGCATATATTTAGTTTTTATTAATTGCAAATATACAGTATCTATATATATTTACAAGTGAAATTTTCTTGATGCAAGTTATACTATATATGAATTGTTTGATATCTGTAACTAATTTCAAGTATAAAACATTTTTCATTTTATTTACTCTTTTCAGTCTATTTAGAAATTTGAATCTTTATATTACTAGACTCATAAGTAACTTATATATAATATCAAGAAAATTTCACTTACAAATATATACAAATATATTTGTAATTAATAAAAACTGAATATATGCAGATATATTTAGTGTAATATATAAATTAATATAAATAAATACAAATTAATGTAGATTAATGTGATTTATATGAATAAATATATAAGTGAACAAATATATTCAAATATATTTGTCTTCAAAAATTTCTTTATGAACTTATAGTAACTTATAGATAAATATAAACAAAATAATAAAGCAAGAATATAAATAACATCTAGAGTTAAATTTATTAAAAATATTAAATAATTATATAAATACATAATTATTTTATCAATAAGAAAAAATTTAACTTATGCATAATATCAGAAAATTTACTTGCAAATATATGCAAATATATTCACAATTAATAAAAACTGAATATATATAGATATATTCATAAATATATGCAAATATATTTGATATAATATATGAATTAATACAAATAAATATAGATTAATATAGATTAATGTGATTTATGTAAATAAATATATAAATAAATAAATATATCTGAATATATTTATTTCCAAAAATTTTCTGATGAACCTTTATTATATACTACAGGAGTTAAAATTAAAGATAAATATATTTATCATCATGTATTATACTTTCAAATATCAATTTTTATTAAATATTCTAGAGACTTAAAATTTTTTTATATACAGAAACCATAATTGTTATCAAATATTTGTAATCAGTATTACTATTTTTTTTTCTCTTCATTTTATTCAGTATATTTTTATATTATTACACCTATTTATTATATCTTGTTATCCTTTTATTTTATTTATATAATTTCTCTCTTACCTGTTATATTTTTTTTTTAATTTTTTTTTAATTTAAATATCAATAATTATTATCACTTCCTTTTACTTATTACCACTTATTTTCATATACTTATTTTGTATCATCTACTTTATTTTAGTTACTTTATTGAATTTTCCATTTTATTATTGCCTTAAAAATTTTTAATTTTTTTTTTCTTTTTTATTTATATTTATACTTTAATTCAACTGCATAAATTATATATCATGTGACTTTTGTATTGTATATTGTAAAAATTGTAAAGAAAATATTGAGATTTGTAAAGATATCAGTCAAGTGACATATTTAATAATATATATTTCTAGTGATTTAATTATAGAGATATCTACATCTTATAATAAAATTTCTCAAATTCATATGAAACATGAAAAATTCTTGAACTTATCAATCAAATATGTTGAAATATCATATACAAATCATAATTAAAAAGTAATTAGGTTGATTAATAAAAAATTATTAATTTTATATAAATTCATTTAAATTCAATAAACTTTCTACTATATGAGAATTTCAAAGTTAAAATATATTAAATTTTAAAAATAGAAAAAAAGTAGAAATTGAATCTGAAAAATATTTTTATAACAAAAATTTATTCTTTGATTTTACAAACCTTTTAAAAAATAATTTTCAAATATTAAATAAATACATTGAAGATAATTTAACTTAGACAAATGAAAATAATGATTTTTTATATAATAACAATCTAGAATTATTCATTTTTAATCAAGAAGGATATAATAAAGCACATGAAAAACTTGAAAAAGAACAATTTAATAATGATGATAATAATAATTTTGATTTATTGAAAGATATAAAAACTATATCAATTGATTTTAATATATGTAAAAAAATTAGATAAAATAATTATTATTAATAAATAGTTTATTATTCCATTTTTACCATGTATTCTTGTTAATTTAAAAGATAACAAGTTTCAAATATGCAATAGAACAGAAAATATTAAAAATATTAATTAATTAATTGGAGTTTAACAAATTAATTCATATTTTACAATAGAATTTGAAAAAGAAAAATTATCATTAAGAGTATATATGTAGTACTTTAATTATAATTAAAAAATCATAGATCTAAAGTAAAACAAATGTGAACTATGTAACAATATGAAGTTAAAAAATATAGATGTTTTTTTTGTAACAAATATTTTTATTTTTATAGTCAAGAAAAAAGATACAAAAATCATTTATAAAATATTTTTAATAAAAATTTTCAAGTACCATGTATTGGATTTTTTGCATATAATTCTTTTCATGAATTACAAAAAATTGTTAAAAAAAATTATGACGAAATTTCCAGAATGCACTATATTTGTTATAAGTGTTACAAATCTAAAAATAAACATCTACATTATTAACCAGGTTTCAAAAAATAAATTATTACATGTAAACAACAAAATTTACATATTAAAGATGTATTCTATAGTTTAGAATTTTTATCAAATGATTTAATTATATTGTAAAGATAAAATTTGAAGATGAAAAATTAAAAATATTAAGGGGTGTGTTGGTTCTTATCATTAATTTTATTCATATACCTTTTAAATTGTTTTCATTGTTACCTTTACTTTTATTAATTATTTTTATATTTTATTATTATATATTTTATATTGTATATTTATAATTATTTTATTATTTTATTTCTTATTATTATATATAGTATTACAGTAGATCAATTTATTAGGCTATAATGCAAATTAAATTATTATTACTTATTAGTAGATTTCTAAATTCTTGTTAATCTGTAACACTAGAATACAAATTAGAGTACAAACAATAATACGAGTTAATATCTCAGTTAAAGTATAAGTTAAATTAATAGTTAAGGTACCAGTTAGAATATTAATATAGATACTAGTAAAGTTTTTAATTAGATTACAAGTTAGTTTAACAGTTAAATCTATAATATATATAAAGGCTGAAAATTCTTTCAACTCAGTCTTTAGTTCATTTAGTTTATTTTAGTTTTAGTTAGTTTTAATAAAGTTTCACAGGTCAAAATTTAAATATCGAGTATTTATCAGGTACCTATCGAATATTTATTAGAGAAGAATAAACATATTAGGTATTCGATATAATTGATTATTACTAAGTACCCGATAATTAATTTTGTAAATTTTATCATGTGCCTAATATAATAGTGATAAGTATGAAATAAATTTTATTATTATCTCAGGTTCCCAATATTGTCTTGAATATTAGGTGCATGATACTAAATAGTATGTTTATTGTATTAGATAATTTCTTTATTATTATTAAATAAAATAAATTAAACATTAAATCTTTTATTCAATGGAATTATTGAAACATAATTTTTCTT